AAAAAAAAAAAAAAAAATAGAGGGATAGAGTGCAAAGAATTATTGAAATGCCAAACTTTAGAGTTTAGTAGGTATCAGAATTCACTAATCGGTTGATGACCCAAGATCTAGGTACATCAATTCCAAATGGGAATGGGATGGATTCGCAATCCAAATCACCAAAAGTCATAATTGATTAGACTTCCAAATTATGTCTAAATAGCATTTTTCATCGAACAACAGAAAATTGGCCCACAAGTTCAAGCAATCGGGAAGGTTCGCCCGTGGTGCACCAAAATAAAGACCTATTTTTACTATGGTACTGAAGAATAAAACACAAGGTGCTACCTCCAATCCCAACTATCTTTGACCATTAACCAGCTTGAGACATGTGAAGTAAGTTGACATGCCTGCACCGGAGCTTTTAACCGACACAATCAAGGGCTTATCGTAACTAAAAAAACTTAGTCGGCACAAATGAATTAAAGGTCACATTGTAACATTTTTAATACTTCAAGAGTCTAATATAAAAATTTAATCTTTCATGGTATGAAATAAAAATTATTCTTAAATTAGATTATGTTAGATTTTTTGAACTAAATATTATTACTCTTTTTTCAATCTGAAGACAAACACAAATTGGAACAAATCCGGCTATTAAGTGCTAACATGCGCATTACCCTAATCTTCTCTGCTAACATGCACAACACGCTAACGTCCGCACCACTCACATACTCAGAGATAGAGAGAGAGGGGGAAGACAGTACCGATCTTTCTGGTGTTGGTATTGGTGAAGAGATACATGAGAAGATGAACAGTCCTGATGCTAAAACTCTGATTGTAAGAAGATAAAGCCCTCTGCAACTCCTTATCATCTATGAAACCACTCCCATCTTGATCGGCCATCTGAAAACAGGATATCACATTTGGGTCCGTTCCCGGTGGGAAAGACGACGGCACAAGAGAAGCAAATGGACTGCCGTACGGCGCAGATTGAGGAGGATATCCAGAAGCAGAGGAAGATGGTGGCGGAGCACCGTATGGAGCGGATAGCTTGTTGTCTTTTGGGGGTTTGTAATCTCCACCGTATGGAGCTGATTGTGGTGCTGCGCCGTAAGGTTGGGCCGGTGGTGGCGCGCCGTAAGGTTGGGCCGGTGGTGGCGCGCCGTAAGGTTGGGCCGGTGGTGGCGCGCCGTAAGGTTGGGCCGGTGGTGGAGCGCCGTAAGGTTGGGCCGGTGGTGGAGCGCCGTAGGGGGCTGAGTAGGGTTGGGAAGGCGAGGGTCCGTAACCGTAGCCGGAATTGTTGGGGTAACCTGACATCTTCTGTGTGTTTGTGTGTGATAGAGAGAGAGAGAGAGAGAGAGAGAGAGAGAGAGAGCTAGACGGTGCTTGGCTGTGGGAACGGTTTATTATAGAGTTGGACTAGGAGGAGTTGCTAATTTGAGTTCAGCGTTTAAAGGATATCAGGATCAAAATTAGAAAAAAAATAAATACTATTTTTTTATATTTTTAATATTCCACTTTCAGTACCTCAATTTTTTAATTTATGTCCTTTCAATTCCATTAACCAGTAATAAAATTTAGTATTTTTTTTTTTCAATAGTCAGGGTGTCCGACTCAATTAATACTAATCTCAATTAATCATCTCTTAAGTCTGATTAAAGACAAATCATCTACATCAGAACTAAGTTATTCATAAAAAAATAAATTATTCATGATCTAACCCTAAAAAATTATCAAAATTCAAATTAAGAATATCTAAATTTATAATTTGTCACTTTACCACTTAAATTACCCCTTGAAATTAAATTGGGTATCGTTTATCGGTAAAAATTTGAGTGTCATTTGTTACGCTACGTCATGTGATATGATATAAAATTATCTAATAAAAAAAAAAGTGGATAAGTAGATGTCGCACAATTAAATAATTATTTTACGAAATTCAATAATTAAAATAATAAAAGGAGTTCTTCACCATGTCTCAACCTTACCACTCTCCCACCACTTTATTGTTATCTCATAATTTATGGACAAAATACAATAATTTGTATATCAATTATGCGTTAAGTATTATTTTAGTCCTCATTCTTTTTTTTTTTTTTTTGTTCAATCCTTTCAATTTTCCCATTTATATCACTTTTTATCGTTTTCTTCTCATATGATCATGTTTCAAAAACAATTCTTAAAACCTTGCCAAGTTGAATAAAAAACACTGATTCCTTAATTGTGATCGGATGTGACGCACGTAATCACTCTTACTGGTTAATTTAAACCGTTATTCTTAATTGAACGAAAATGTAAACGTTGAGGATCGAGAAATTAAAGCTATAAAGTAAATAAAATAAAATAAAACTCTAAGCAACACAAAACAAATTATTTGAAGGATTATTAATTATTCTAACCAGAATTTATTGTTCAATCGTATAAGTTATTAAGGATAATTCGTACCTGAAAATACAGTATAATATGAATAGTTTTAATAGAGATGTTAGTGAACGTTGAATGAATCTATTTTTGATCGTCTAATAAATTTATTAAAATTAATTTTATTTTATATTATAAATATAAATATTATGACGAAAAAACAAAAGGCTATATCCGTCATTGTAGATTCCAGAAAAGGGAGTAAATAGTGAATGTAACAGTGATACCACGTCACCATTGATGACATGGTATCACCTACCAATAATAAAACCTCAAATGAAAAAGGTAAGCTCTACTTAGACTTGTATTGCAGGAGAGTGAAAAATTATTTGTTTACCTGACAAGTTATTAATTTTTATGGGTTCCGTGTGCCGACTTGTTTCCACGTGGCCAACTATTAGCTACACAAGTGGAAATGTATTTTGTTTTTTTTTTTTTTGTGCTAAGTAAGTCAACTATGCTTATCCACAAACCAATCAAGACTCTCATTGCAACTACGATATTTTAATGATTTACATTGGAAGAATAATGCAGACTTGATGAAATTAAATAATGCATATTTCTTAAAAAAGTCTCAAATAGAATATAATTATAATTTAATACAATTCTATAAAATAAATCAGATAGATGTTTGAACTTATAGAAGATATATTTTTCCTCTAAATTTCACATACTCAACACACATTTTTTCCTCCAAATTTCAAAAACTCAGAACACACACTCCACAACACACAAATGTACATACACACACACCCCAACACAAATATTTTAATTCATGTACATTCTAATAATTTTAGTCACTATATATTGAAAAAATTTGTTGAAAATCAAATGGCGGGAGGGCATCAAAACCACCACCAAACTAGTCAAAGGTTTCGTGACAAGGAGAAGGATCGAAAATTTTTAAAAATTAAGATACAAATATTATATTTATAAATTATTATTTTTAGTAATCTTGTTAATATTTTTACGATTATCTGATACAATGCAACTTATAACAATCAATAAAAATTTTTAAAAGCAATATAAAAAATTAATAATTTTAGATTTAAAATTATAAATCGTTTGATTTATATTTTATCATCAAAGTAAACGTGACTACTTCAAGAAATCGGAATTAAGATTTAATCACTTCGTTTGTTGATAGATACTTCCTCTTGTCAATAAATATGGTGCAATAAACTATTTTGTCAATTTGATATATATATATATATATATATGATTTTGCACACTATCTATCAAGTATGAGTAATAAATACAGTAATTAAAGTAGAGAAAAGACGAGAATTATAATGATTTAGTCAAAGTGACCTACGTCCACTTTTGAATGGCTAGGATCGCTAGGTATTTTATTAACTTAAGTATGCAAGAGAGCAAAGAGTTACAAGCTGAGACGGAGAAGAGAGAGTCTTGCTCAACAGAGTGTGATCTGTCCCCCAAGTATTAATGGAGCTTACAATTTATAATCGCTTCATAATAGATTAGACGACTTAATAGCAACTAAATAACTATTCTAGTGGAACTGACGACTTCTTCTCAACGACGCGAAATGATTGAGGTGCTCTCCATGAGACTCGGTCAAGGGATGAGAATGAGAGTTGACTTCTTCCAAGACGACTTGGATGAAGCTTTTAGATAACTCTTACTTCAAGGTGGCTTGGAGGAGGTTTTTGGATAATCTTTGCATGCGTCTCTGCTGATATAGCTCCTTGAGCTTGATGAGTTTAATCGAGTTGACCACATTGAGCTGGATTTGTTGGATCTCTTGAAAATGAGCTTTTAGCTTAAATCGGGCTTATAACATGAGTTGATTCCTTGGGCTTGGCCTATCATTTGCTCCCCAATGCCCTGCGTCCAACGAAACTTGGAAAGAAGGGCATTCAATTTAAGTTTGAATTTTCAGTTGATCAGCATAACCGAAAAAACTTCGGGAGGCCAAAACCTATGCTTTTAAGACTTATTTGGACTTTTAACGGTATTAGTCACAAACCAAAGGCAATCAGTTTTGTAGGGCTCGTCGAGAACTTCGATTTGATATATTATAAGCCTCATTTGGAGTAACGGAGCAAACATTACGGTTAAAATTTCGAGCAAACAACTGGGTGAGTAGTTTGAGCGAACAGAGAGTGTCCTGGACTAGCAAAGGGCCTCTTGGGCGAGCAGCAACTGATTTTTTTTTTTTTTAAACTTCGGGAGGCCAAAACATCTGTCTAAGTATAATATTTTAAACTTAATAAGTCTACGCATTATATACCTACAATTTTTATGGGGGTTTAAGTATAATTTATTAACTGATATATTTACAACAAGGCCGAAATGTTACGCGCGTACAAATTTTAGGAGGTCTGTGTGTAATATTTCAAATGTCAATAGGTCTAAATAATTAATTGACAAACCTCACATGTAATTCTCCCTAAAAATAAAGAAAAACCAATGTAACCATCCCAACTAAGTTTAAATCTAACAATACATTGTATTCTCTCAACATTGTCCTCCTTTGACAATCATGTGTTCAAGAAATAAGAAAAGAAAGAAAATATGTTAACCCTTACAAAACTCTAAAAGAGATGTGAGATTGTTGACGAAATTGATTGAGATATTACCTAAAATTGGTGGCAAGGTCAAATCTTGTATGGTCATAGATTTAGTCCCGATTGTTGTTATGATCCCTTGCATCACGAGGAGATGAGGAGGCAAAACATAGATATACTGCCATGGTTTCTAATAAGGGAGAAGTAGTCGTTGAGGTGATGTGAGGGGGGAGACAAAGACAGATACAAACGATGAATAGAGAAGAAGAAGAAAAATAAGAGGAGAACAGAGAACAGAGAAGGGGAAGAGATTAGGATCATCGAGTTTTTTGGTCAGGTCAATTGGGGTTCATTATCGTCGATTTGGGAATGGGCAATATCACGTTTAATTTGGTAATCACTAATCCTATGTTTTGTAGTATTAGTTATTCCTAAGGAATGATTAGAAATGAGAATAAATTTTTATTACCACGAGCCAAATAATGGAATAAACATTCTTAAGTAATGATAATTCCGTTCCTAAAGTTTACTCTTACGTCACGGTCTTTTACATTAACTTTTAACATATAGGTATACACAAAAATTGCTCATTCCTAAACAAATTATACCAGATAAACATATTCATAACAACAATTAACCAACACCCCAATATATAAATATGATATTATTCATCAATAATAATTAATTCAACTGGAGCCCAAAGTGGAGGCAAAACTGGTGACGTAATAGAATCCGCTAGTCAACACTCCACACGTCAAATTAATACTATCAACTCTTCATACTGATAACTCCCCTAAATTGTGAGTTTACAACACTAGCGATTACACCACTGCAAGCAACACGAGTCAACAAATTTCAGCAAAACTTAAGTTCATGTTATAAACAAAAGATTAATTTTTAATTGAGATAATCAGAGAATTTTAAATTGACAAAGCATTTGGTGGGTGTCGGTGAACGATTTCGCTGATCCAAGTGATGGGAGTTGCACCCACCCAATTAATGACCGTGGGGGAAGTTGGTAGCCGTTTCAAACTTTAATGCTTTGGCACCCTCCCCCATTCTACAGTAGCCATCAACTCTCTCTCTCTCTCTCTCTCTCTCTCTCTGTGTGCATATGGACACACTGATATATACATCCAGACAAATCAGCAGTTACAAGTGTGAGCTGTTTTCGTGAATTTTGGTCACAAAACTTAATGTTTCATTTTCTCAACTGCATGCAAGTTTCATGTTCTTCCTTTTCTCTCTCTTGAACTTTTTTTCCCCCTGTAGTTTGTAATTGATGCTTTACAACGTCGGCTTCAAGAATTCAAACCTTTGGTGGGTTTAAAGAGTTTTTGACTGATAAGAACTGATTACCACCAGCTTTGTAGTATCCGACAAGTAAAGGTCGGTGTCTTTGAAATTTTCCCTTTGTTCATTATTAAATTTATCTGTTGGGTAGCTGAACAAACTCAAGCGGAGTCTACAAAGTTACCCTCGGATTGGTGGGTTTGAAATTCTTAGTGGAGAGATAATAGAGACTGGTTTTCATTAAGGTGACATTTGTACTAGTAAATTTTCTATATTTTAGTCATTGTGAAGATTGGGGAAGCGGAAAATTGTAGTGTAGAGTGAAGAATTCAGTTCTCTGGGGTTGATTGGAAGATAACCCATTTAGAAACAGAGGTGGGTTGTTATCAAAACCTGGAGTAGTTCAGAAAATTTAATCTTTTTGATAGTGGTGTTGCAAATGAAATATATAAAAAGCAAAGGTAGGTTAGTATCAGAATAGGTTATATTTGAGAAAATTATAGCACTCTGTGATTTGGGGGTGTCAATTAGGTATAAGAATTAGATGTGCATTGTTTTCAATATCTAGTTGAGTTGAGAAGAACCAAGAGGGACTTGGGTTTTGGAAAATCCAGTCTGAAGTTGCACCTATTGAAATTGGAGCTTGATATTCAGGAAGATCCCTTTTCAAAAACCCCTTCTTGGTACTTGAAGATTTGCATTTTTTTTCTAGTTGATTTGTTATACTTGGTGTTGAGTGTAATTGGGAAAAGATGGTTGGAAGTATTGAGGCGGATAGTCGTAATTTGTACCTAAATGGCACTATACAAAACCAAAATGGTATGGAAGAGAAGCTTGATGAACTTCGGAGAATTCTTGGCAAGGCTGATGGTGATTTGGTGAGAATTGTTGGAGTCGGAGCTGGTGCATGGGGCAGCGTTTTTGCTGCTTTGCTTCAAGATAGCTATGGTCAATTTAGAGATAAGATTCAAATCAGGATATGGAGACGGCCCGGAAGAGCTGTTGATAGAGCCACAGCTGAACACCTCTTTGAAGTGATCAATTCGAGAGAGGATGTATTGAGGAGGTTGATTAGGCGCTGCGCGTATCTAAAGTATGTTGAGGCGAGATTGGGCGATCGGACACTTTATGCGGATGAGATTTTGAAAGATGGATTTTGCTTGAACATGATTGATACACCACTTTGTCCTTTGAAGGTTGTGACTAACTTGCAGGAGGCAGTTTGGGACGCTGACATCGTGGTGAACGGCTTGCCTTCAACTGAAACACGCGAGGTGTTTGAATTGATCAGCAAGTATTGGAAGGAGAAAATAACCATGCCCATTATTATCTCTTTGGCAAAAGGCATAGAGGCTGAACTGGAGCCTGCACCTCGTATAATTACACCTACAGAAATGATTCATCGAGCAAGTAAGACTTTTTATTTTTGTCAAAAGTACTGCCGTCTTATTTTGTACAATTGCTCTATGTTGTGCCCTTTAAATTGACCTGAACACGTGGCGGCAGGAATTAACATGCTCTACTTGTATGTTCTGGAATATATATTTTCTCCAAAATAACACTAGAGCAAGTTTTCTGGAGCATGTATTTCATGAAATAATAGTGGGCAAAAATGTTGTATTTACCAAGGCCCAAACAAAAAGGTCAAGAATTTCCCTTTTTGCATGATCAAATTGATGTGAACTTAATGATCACATTAGGTCAAGTGGTGGGTAGGAACTATTAGGACTTGAAAAATGATAGCATGATGTACATTTGCTGAATTTGTGGAAGAAATGAAATCTGGTTCCAGAGAAAGAGAACTTGATATTTACATAGGATACATGTTGCATTTAGAGTAGGAGATTTGGCTTGATCCAAAGATATCAAACCAATGACAAGTTTTATTTGAATTCATCAAGCAAAGTTTTCATGAACATCGAGCTTCACGGGTCTGTTCTACACTTTAAACATGTACTACATTGCTTTTTCCTCAAGTAGAAACATGTTTGCACCAGTTTTCCTTGTAAATATAAATGAAGATGGTGGTTTCTTTCAATAACTCCCTGTAGGCATATATTCATGTAACTTGAACACTATGCAACTTTGTTTAATGCACACGCCAAAGTTGCGATCTTTTCTCATCTCCATTGCGGAAATTTAGTGCCTTTAAATGAAAGATGATACACTTCTACTTGTTATGCAAATAGCGTCACAAATCCTGTTATCTCATGTTTACAACCATGCTGTCTCATTCTTTACTATTTAATATATCTAAATGGCAGCTGGAGTACCAATGGAGAACATTCTTTATCTTGGTGGACCAAATATTGCTTCAGAGATTTACAACAAGGAATATGCTAATGCTCGAATTTGTGGTGCTGAAAAGTGGAGGAAACCACTTGCTAAGTTTCTAAGGCAGCCCCATTTTGTTGTGTGGGACAATAGCGACCTTGTTACTCATGAAGTTATGGGAGGCTTGAAGAATGTCTATGCAATTGGTGCTGGTAAGTGCAGTCATTTTTTTAATGTTCACCAACACATATGTTGTCAATTTCTGGCTATTGTCATTGGCAGTTGCTGTCCACAATAAAATTTTCTTGTTGCTGGACTTGTTTTTGTTAACTTTGATCAATCATAGAAAAATAAGAGAAAGAAGAAGAGAATATTATTGAGGCACAATCAGCCAGAACAAACTTAAAAGAAAACTACTTATAAGAGGTCTTTATATAGTAAACTAAGTTAGGGCAACATAAAAAGAAAACAAATGATTAAACTACCCCTAAGTCTAAATATAATAACTATTCTAACACCCTCCCTCAAACTCATGATGTGATAACATCAAACATCAAGAGTTTGCTAAGAAGAAAATGAAAGCAAGTGACAGGATGTTATTTTGTGAAGAAATCTGCTAGCTGCATACAGTCCTCCCTTTCTACGGCATGTCCCAATCAGCTTGTTGGACTATGGATCCTGAAGGACCTGAGGTAAATAAACCTACTGAAGGAAATATTGTAAGTGCACCAGGCTGATGGAAAGAGATTAACTTTTGCAACTGATCAGCAAGCATAGTTAGGTTTGGTGCTTGTGAGGAGGACTCATCCACTGTTGATTGATTTGATGTCCCTTTTGCATTTTTCTTCATCAGTTTAGGGCATTGAACCTTCTAGTGGCCCTTCTCATAACAGAAGCTACACTCATCTAACGCTACACGACCCCGATATTTAGAAGTCACCGTAGAAGGCATAGCCAATACAGTTTGAGTAGGCGATGGAATAAGACTTTTTCTAGAAAGAGTCTTAAGACGAACTTCTTCAGTCAGAAGCTCATTCACTACTGCATCCACTGAGGAAATTGGATTACGATGACGAATAGAACCACGAAGTCCCTCGAAGTCATCCCTGAGGGCCATAAAAAATTGCACCAACCTCTGTTCCTCTCTAAAAGTGCGATATATCATATAAGTACTCAGTTCAGCAGGTTCAGCAAGTGCTAACTGATCCCAATATCTAGTCATAACTGAGTAGAACTCATGAATATTCTTATCACCCTGACATGCAGCTCGAATTTCATGCTCTAACTGATACCTCTTTGCAAAATTAGACTGAACAATAAGGTAACTAAATAATCTCAAATCTCTTTGACTGTATTAAACTTAGTCAAATGAACACCAATGGTCTGATCAACTGAGTTGTTAATCCAAGTGATGATTTTAGCGTTGTTGATTTTTCAAGTATTCTTTAAGTCAACATATTTCTTGACCTTAGGATCAGTTGGAGCTGACGAATCACCACTAATATATCTCCACATTTTCTTACCCAACAAGAAATTTTTCTTAACATAAGCCCAATATATATAGTTCTCACCTTGTAATCTGACACTGATAGCCTAAAGAGAATTAGAATTTTCACTGGCCATAATACTCAAATCAAGCAATCCAAAGCAAATATTAAAGTAAACAAACAAAATCTAGCAACCTAACAACCTAGCAAAATCCAGCAACCCAACACCCAAATGGCAAATAAGGGCCCAACAAAAAACCAAAGCTCAACAACTTTGCAAATCAAATACTCACCCAATCGTTCGTTCACAAAATCAGTCCCAAAGGCTCAAACCCACCAATCAGTAAGAAAGGAAATAAAAGTTTCCTACTTATTCAGTACGAAACAATTCAAACAAACCCAAACAATGCAACACTATGTCAAATAACAAGCCCAAACAAAAAATGCAAATAAACCCAGACAATGCAACGCTATGTCAAATAGCAAGCCCAAATTAACAAAAGAATAGCCAAACCAGAACTAGCCCCAAACCAGCAGTAGCCAAAATTAATAAATCCTAGTAGTTAGGATTTTTTACCTTGCAAAGACTAGTTCAGCGAGGAAGACCCAACAACGAGAACCACCAACAGAAGAGAAGAGGCAGCCAACGTCAAATAATGCAAAGTTCGTGACAAATCAACTCAACAATTTTACAAATCAAATACCCATAACTGTCGATTCGGCACTGTTCACAACTCGTGAACAGTACTTCTGCACTGTTCACAGCCCTTAGAGCCACAAAAACAAATCAGCAACCCTAATCCAAAAATAAATCGCCATAGATGATGTCAGCTCTAATCCAAGAATATATTCTTTCTCCAACTAAATTACTGTGGTGCTACAATATATTTTGGATCGAAACCATGCTCTGAAACCATGTTAACTTTGATCAATCATAGAAAAGTAAGAGAAAGAAGGAGAGAATATTATTGAGGCACAATCAGCCAAAACAACCTTAAAAGAAAACTACTTATAAGAGGTTTTTATATAGTAAACTAAGGTATGACAACATAAAAGAAAATAAATGACTAAAATACTCCTAAGTCTAAATATAATAACTATTCTAACAGTTTTATCATTTAGTTGGCAGGAAGGCGGCCATGAAGCTGCAAGAAAATGAGTATTTCTTCAAGGCTCTTTAATATCTCTAAAACATTTCAGTGACCATAGGGAATATGTAGGAACTCAGCTAAAATATGATAAGGCATGCTAAATGTCCGTAGCATCCCGTCAATTCCATGGAAATCCTCGACATTGCTCTCAAGTGGAGGCTGACCATTAAATTAACCACTGAGCAGTTGTCTCACCTCTTCAATATGCATTGGCATATCCAGAATCCACATCCTTAAAATATATATTACAGAATATGAAATTAATTATATGAATATATAATAAACAAGTTAATGAATTACCTTCAGAGCTGTGAAATCACTATTTCATAACTTAGAAAAATTTTGTGGACTATTTACTCCACCTTAGGTTCTGATTTCACTAGCATTGATGCTATGAGACTGATAAAAAATCATTGGAGAGTCTTTGGTGTCGAACACTTTTCCTAGTCCAATTTTCTGAACTACATTGTTGTGATTGATGATTATTGATCATGGTTGATGACTTTTTTTTTTGACTGCTATCATGGGCGGAGGCAAGACCCTGAAATTTTTAAATAAAATTATAAATATGTATATTTTCAAAATAATTCAATATAATCATTGTGCCCAACCACATTTTTTTTTCCTTTTATGAGGCTGAAAAATGGACAGACAATCATTTTCTTTGCGCCCATGCTGCCCTGTCAATAAAACAAGGTTTTTGTGCTGCTTGCCAAGATTGTATTCCATCAGCTATGTTGTTCTTTTCTCGACAAGAGGCTAAAAAGGATTGTTCCAGAAGAAGATCCTAAATATTTGAACTTTCAAAAAGATTTTTCATATTGAAATTATTGTTATATTTGGGCCAAGTCCAAATGGAAATTATTAGCTGAACTCATAGAATTATCTCTAATGTTCTGAATCTGGAATCCTTAGACTTGCTTTTCAATTTGATATGCCCAGGAATGGTAGCAGCTCTAACAAAAGAAAGCGCAACCAGCAAATCTGTATATTTTGCACACTGCACATCTGAGATGATATTTATCACCCATTTATTGACGGAAGAACCCGAGAAGCTTGCTGGGCCACTGCTAGCTGACACTTATGTGACCCTGTTGAAAGGTCGAAATGCATGGTATGGACAAATGGTGGCCAAGGGTGAGCTGAGCCTGGATATGGGGGACAGCATCAGCGGCAAAGGGATGATTCAGGTAACTGATTGTGATTTAAAAACTCTCAAACGTGTATCTGTGTCAAAATCTAATAATGTATGCTACGTCAAAAAAGTTACAAAGGGTTGGTAAAGCCTTATCAGAGTGAAATTACTGACTGAATTAATTATTATTTTTTTTTTTGGGAGAGGGGGGGGTGGGGGATGTGTGAGAAGGACCACTCTACACCTCCCTGGTTGTCTGCCTCTGTAAAATTAGGTTTCCTTTGTTGAAGGTGCCAAAATGATATAGTGGGTGGGCATCAAATACTCTTTTATACACTTCAAAAGCTATGTAAATAGCTGTCTTATTTGTGCAAGAAGCAAACTGAAATTGCTTTGGCAAAAAAAGGTTCCTGTGACAATGGTGTTCATGCAAACTGAATGATGCATTGGTGGCTATATCAGCTTATTGAGAGCACCAAATTGTTTTAATAGTGCACTGCCTGAAACCTTCACAATTTTGGAGTGATAATTTTTCAGGCCAGGACATATTGAGAGATTTTCCCCGCTAGTCCCTGTCCCTCTATTATCTCCTTTTTTTTTCACCTCCCTCTATAAACAAATCATACTGTGAAGATGGAAAGATATTGTGAAATCTTTCTTCTATTCTTTTCTCTTGCCTCAACCAAGCAATAGGCAATTTGTGTGTGAGCATGGTGGCATGATCTGCTCATTAGCAAATTTCCAGAACAGATCAGCATGTAACGGGTGTCTACGGTTTACTCACATTAATAATCTTCATTGATTGAACTAAGAGCAAAGTTAGCTCCAACATCAACCTTTCAGGTTGTTGACAAAGCAAATTCAAAAAAGGATGGCACACAGTAATACAGGATGTTACTTGGCTTATTGTGATTGTGATGTTGCCATTCAAGGGTTCAAGTCATGAGTTCAATTCATGGAAGTAGCCTATCTAGTATATATATGATCTTCCCTAGGCCCTGCAGTGGCGGGAACCTCCTACAGTCGTACACTGGGCTGGGGATGCCCTTTATGCTAGCATTCAAGTTCCTGAAGTAGTTGCATGATGTATGCAAATGTAGGTTCTCTGCATCTTATTATTCATTACTCCTAGACTTAATTAAGAGCAAAAATAGGCCTAAAAAGGAACCTTTTTGATTTCATCACATCTTGACAAAGCAAATTTTAGATAAGTGGTGCAAACATCAATACTTGGGGGTTGCTAGTGGCATGACGAATGACTGTGAGTGTAGGTTTGCCTCCTGACTTCAGTCACCATTTACATTTTACCTTTATAGCACATCAGTCATCGCTATGTCTCATTTTCCAATTGTGGACCGATCATTAGTCAGGATGGACCTTTTAGCGTAAAGTATAATGTTTTATCTTATGCTTCATTTTCTTAACAGGGAGTCTCTGCAGTGGGGGCATTTTATGAACTTCTTAGTCAGTCAAGTTTAAGTGTATTGCATCCTGAAGAAAACAAGCCTGTTGCTCCAGCTGAGCTCTGTCCCATCTTGAAGACATTATACAAAATACTCATAGCAAGGTGATTCTCTCATTGATTTCGTATTTAGCTAAACAGTAACCTCCACTTCTATCGTCTCGTGCATCAATAGCATCGTTGATTTTAGAAACTAAAATCATATCATGCCTGAGCTAGTACATTTCAGGCTCTTCGATATGTCAAGAAACATGGTCAGTGTAGCCTCTTTGAAATCAATCTCTGTTTAGTAAATGCCCAAGTGGTACCCTACTTGTCATCCCATTTTGATCGATTTTCGTGTAAAAGAAACGACATTGTACCAAGGGGAAAGCAAAACTTATTTGAGTTCCATAGAGCCCTTTGTCAACGACACTGATGCAAACCATGTTTCAATCAACACATTTACAATAATGTACAAATCTAATCACATCTGTGCATTGAATTTGTGGGATCTTCAGGGAACAACAGTCTCGAGCCATTCTCCAGGCATTGAGGGATGAAAACTTGAATGACCCCCGTGACCGCATCGAGATAGCTCAAAGCCATGCTTTCTACAGGCCTTCACTCCTTGGGAAGCCTTGATTGTTTCACATTCTGGAAAAAAAAAATGGAGTAAAGGAGTCAATAAATTTTTCAGATTGTATTTTGATTGGAAGTTTTGCTTGATGAATACAAGTATATTTTCTCTACAAACACCAAAAAACATATGTAGTATCTTTACATCGACTTTATTACTGTCTCCATATATTAAAATTGAGTGATTCAGCTTTTGTTGGCATTCACTATGTGTATGCTGTTGCATTGTGAAGCAGCAGTGTGTCCTGACTTGTCAAAAAAATGGCTTTGCAGCTGGATTTGGTCTCGTTTTTTATTTTTTGGTTTGGCAGTCAAGGGAGTTCAGGTCAACTTATACGCACCTCGACTAAACCCCTTTTCGGTCTAGTTAAAAACAGATCATATACGCCGAAGCTAGAGTATTCATAAGGAATAAATTTATATCCCTCATGGTCTGATTCCAAATAATTGTTAAGATTTAAATTCAGAGCGTTTAATTTACAGCTTATTCATATGAAAGACAAGGCACAAACTATTGTAAACAAAATCCTATAAATGTGCTACTCTGAGTACTCATATTTAAGGGATTTATATCCCCTCTATTATTCTTTTTTTTCAATTTTTTTAATACAGTGTTAGATAAATGATATATATAAAATTTTAAATTTCAATAGATAAGATGTTTCTTCATTTATTTTGATGTTAGTGAACTAGTGTTTACAACTATCAAACATATACAATAATATATTATATCGATACAATAAAATAGTTTATAATTCAAATCTCAAAAGATAAACAAAATGATTTTTACTATTCGTGATTGAGATCGCTTTAAATTTTACTTTAAAGTTAATCTAACGACTAATATTAAAAGTTCAAATTTAATAAGAAAAAATAGACCCCTAAGGGTATATTTGGAGTAATTTTTTAAGTGTTTTTAGGAATTATTTCTCATCAGTACTTAAAAAATATATATTATTTTGAACCGCTTCACCACTACCTCCACCACCACCACCATTGTCGCCGTTGACAACACCACCGCCACCACCGCCACCCATACCACTGCCCTCGCCCCCACTACCATCACGGTCATTACCACCCACCACAATCATTATCATCTCCTACCACTACCACTGCCGTCCCACCACCTCTCACTCCCACTACAAAAATGATATTTAAATTCATTTATCTTTTTTTCTATGTTTGTAATTTGATTTTAGATATAAATACAATATGTTTATTATTTATTATTTTTTATTATTCTGTGCCTTCAGGTACAAGTAAACTAGTATATATAATAAAGTAACTTACAATTCAAATCTCAAAAGATAAACAAAATGACTTTTATTATTCGTGGTTGAGATCGCTTTAAATTTTATTTTAAAGTTAATCTAACGGTTAATATTAACACCTTAAATTTAATAGAAAAATAGGCCCCTAAGGGTGTATTTTGAGTGATTTTTTAAAATTACTTTTAGAAATTATTTTTTATAAATACTTTTAAAAAAATAATAATATTTGAAACCGCTCCACCACTACCCCTACCCCACCACCACCATCACCATCGTGGCTGCCACCGCCACCAACGCTGCCCACCACTACCGCCGTCGCCGCCACCACCACCACCACCACCACCATTGCCACCATCACCGTCGCCACCACCACAGTTATTGTCACCCACCACAATCATCACCGTCCGCTATCACCACCTCTCACTTGTACTACAAATTGATATTTAAATTCTTTGATCTCTTCTCTAAGTTTGTAATTTGATTTTAGATATGAATTCAAATATGTTTATTGTTTACTATTTTTTATTACTCTGTGCCTTCAGGTACAAACAATTACTAGTTTTTCAATATCTTAACAACAAGATTAGTTCTCTTCCTCAAAACTTTCACAAAAAGGTCTCAATTATTCTTGATTTTTTTTCTTGAATAAATTCCAAAATGTCAACTATTTCAATAATAAATTAATTTTCAATGTTGAACTCCAATGTTACCTCTAACCTAAGATACGATTTAGGGGCGAAGCTAGAATTATAACTTGGAGAGAGCAAAAATATAAAATTTTACCGAACCTATTAATGAAAACAAAATTGGGTGTTGTTTTCATAAAAAAAAAATTCCTAAGTTGAAATATGAGAAATAAGTTAAAATTCAAAACTTAATTACCGTATAAAAAGTAGCAATAAGTATCAACAAAATATGAATAAACAAAAATAATACAGTTTTCACTGTACAATTCAACTCAATTATATACTAAAGTAAAATACAACTTATTTGCTAGAAATTCCAAAATTTGTCTATAATTGATCAATTTTATGATAAAGTTTTTAGCATTTATTTTTTAAATATTATTGAGAAATTGATTGTTTGGGAGGGCATTTATGTCCAAAACTATATGCATACGAGATTCGTTTTGTAAACGTGTCACAAAATTGACAGCGGTCTCTGCAAAATTCCTCGTATCATTTGTATCTTTTTCTTATTCCACGTGTCACGGCTTGACGTCGGTCTCTTGCGTAGATCCAGTTGTTTTGAAGCATGTGCACTTTCTAAAGTCCCATCCTAAAACATCACAGCTACCCCTCTCTCTCTCACTTTCATCACTCAACCCGANTAGGCCCCTAAGGGTGTATTTTGAGTGATTTTTTAAAATTACTTTTAGAAATTATTTTTTATAAATACTTTTAAAAAAATAATAATATTTGAAACCGCTCCACCACTACCCCTACCCCACCACCACCATCACCATCGTGGCTGCCACCGCCACCAACGCTGCCCACCACTACCGCCGTCGCCGCCACCACCACCACCACCACCACCATTGCCACCATCACCGTCGCCACCACCACAGTTATTGTCACCCACCACAATCATCACCGTCCGCTATCACCACCTCTCACTTGTACTACAAATTGATATTTAAATTCTTTGATCTCTTCTCTAAGTTTGTAATTTGATTTTAGATATGAATTCAAATATGTTTATTGTTTACTATTTTTTATTACTCTGTGCCTTCAGGTACAAACAATTACTAGTTTTTCAATATCTTAACAACAAGATTAGTTCTCTTCCTCAAAACTTTCACAAAAAGGTCTCAATTATTCTTGATTTTTTTTCTTGAATAAATTCCAAAATGTCAACTATTTCAATAATAAATTAATTTTCAATGTTGAACTCCAATGTTACCTCTAACCTAAGATACGATTTAGGGGCGAAGCTAGAATTATAACTTGGAGAGAGCAAAAATATAAAATTTTACCGAACCTATTAATGAAAACAAAATTGGGTGTTGTTTTCATAAAAAAAAAATTCCTAAGTTGAAATATGAGAAATAAGTTAAAATTCAAAACTTAATTACCGTATAAAAAGTAGCAATAAGTATCAACAAAATATGAATAAACAAAAATAATACAGTTTTCACTGTACAATTCAACTCAATTATATACTAAAGTAAAATACAACTTATTTGCTAGAAATTCCAAAATTTGTCTATAATTGATCAATTTTATGATAAAGTTTTTAGCATTTATTTTTTAAATATTATTGAGAAATTGATTGTTTGGGAGGGCATTTATGTCCAAAACTATATGCATACGAGATTCGTTTTGTAAACGTGTCACAAAATTGACAGCGGTCTCTGCAAAATTCCTCGTATCATTTGTATCTTTTTCTTATTCCACGTGTCACGGCTTGACGTCGGTCTCTTGCGTAGATCCAGTTGTTTTGAAGCATGTGCACTTTCTAAAGTCCCATCCTAAAACATCACAGCTACCCCTCTCTCTCTCACTTTCATCACTCAACCCGACCCATTACAAATCACCTTTTTCTTGGACCCACAAAAATGGTGATTCAATTTTAATTATTGAATTGAATAATTCAAATTTGATTTGATTTTATATCAGGTCAAGCTCGTCGAATAATTTTTTGGGTTTATTTAAAAAAAGAGTTCAACCGACTTGATTTGATTATCAACTCTAATTCTAACTGGTAAAATCTTTAATTTGAATTTGAAAAATGTTATGCATGGCATTATTATGGAATTTGAATTTTTGTCAAAAAGTGTATGGGTATTTGATACAATAATGATATCACATAATTATTGATAGGTTTATTGTAATTTTGGCCCTCAAAATATTTATTTTTATCAGTTTAATCTCTAAAGTATTAATTTTATTAATTTGATTATTAAAGTATTCAATTTATTGCTTTAGTCCCTAAAATATTCAACTTATGTCACTTTAATCCTTACACATATAGATTGTTATATTTTTTGACGGAAGTAACCACGTGTCATATTATCAGACGGTATTACGTGACCAACACGTGATCATTCCATTAAAAAAATTAATGATTGGACTGTGTAATGACTAAAGTGAAATAAATTGAATACTTTCGACGACCAAATTAATAAAATTGATATTTTAGGGATAAATTAATAAAAAAAATACATATTTTACAGAGCAAAAATATTATTAACCCTTATTAATATATAAATCACAATTTAATAACACGATATCATACTCATCTAATTATTTGTCTTATATTTATGTGATGGGATAGAATGACTTTTATCATAAAGCATCATAAAACGACTCAAATCATTCAACTCCAACGATTTACTTTGTACCACTTATATTAAAAATAAATTAGTCACACTCACATTTCAACATAGTAAATGTACCCACAACCATTCTAATCAGTCATTTACATTTTAATAACAAAAAAATGAAATTTGTGTACTTCTTAATCTTATTATAAAATGTTACAAGTTTTATATTACATAAAAATCAGTTCTAGCAAAAAAAAATATTTGAAAACCGAGGCCCAAAATTATTTTTGAAGAGATCTGAAAATTTTCAATAGAGGCCCCAAATTTTTTTCCCCTGCCATTGGCAAGGCTAAGCAATCGCTGCAATAACTTGTTTTGAACTCATTTATAAGGGTTTTTTAATTTTATAAAACTCATTTATGTCATTTATAAGGGTTTTTAAATTTTATAAAACTCATTTATGTCGCATATATGTTATAATTTATTTTTTGATATACAATAATATTATAAGCGATCAAACCTATCTATTTAACAAAAAACAAATAAATTTATAATATAATTAGATGTGTAAATGTTTAAACAGGATGAAAAGATACCTAAATAAATGACCGATTAAATATCTAAAGACTTATAATATAAATTAATAAATAATTAAAATTAGCAATAATTCTCATTTTTTATAAAAATAATATTATTTAAATTTATTTATGTGTAGCACACATCGTACATTGCTAATACAATATAAAAGTATAGAGGTATAGATGTGTGTTAGGGTGTACATGACCTGAGTTGCCTACGAGTCTCGTTACTCTTTTCAAAAAAAATAAGTCTAAAATCTAATAGACCTAATAACTGACGCGCTCGAACTCGAGTCCATTTGTGAGAGAGAGCGAGAGAGTTTGCACTTGCCCCTAAATCTATTATTTGGCCTAATAGCTCATCCACAAAAACTCGTTTGAATCGAGCCCAAGAATCCACCCGCCTAACCCGTACCACCTGTTATTCCTTTGAAAAAATGTTAGACCATATAAGGTTAGGTAGGAAATCTTTCATAGGTAAGCGGAAAAAAGAGTTAGGTGTACAGTGCATTCAATGCACAATTTTTAATTCAAAAATACAAAATTATAAAAATATTTATTATTTTTTAAATAAAATTATATATAAAATAGACTTGCTCAATAAGCCTCCCCAATTAGATTGTGGGTAGCCTATTCTTATTCAAAATTTAGTTTGATCTGTCCGATAACTCACTCGAATAAGTGTTCAGGCATATCCTACCCACACACAATTCGAAAATTTTCACGGGCCTAACTCGACCCGACCCGGCCTGACTCATGGACACCCCAATCTGTGTGATAAATTTATTACATCTATTTTTTTAATTAATTAAATTAGAATAATAAAAAAATTAGGCCGGCCTTTTTAATATTTAATACCTTAGATTTTGAAAGGGACTTGTCTCCAATTACAACTCTATACATGTCAGCGTATTTAAAATAATTATGTATACTGCCATGTTTGTTTATTTAAAAACACTATTTGCTATGCCACTAGTAATTATTAAAAAGTTTTGGTCGATTAATCTTATCTCTAATTTTATTAAAAATAAATTATTTTCGTCGTGATTAAAATATTTATTTTAAATAAATCTCTTTTCTTATAATTTAAAAAATTTATTAATTTATTATTAGTCTCTCTTGTCATTTCAAGACCTCACTTTAACACTAATGATTACTTGGTTTTCTCTCTCCAAACGCCACATACAAAACACAACTTATTCTCTTGCACCGCACAAGACATGACAAAGAAATATTCCACAACACAAAGAGACACACACACCCCCGAAAACACCTCAGATTACCAAAATAACAGGATACGAAAGAAACCCGATTCAGCCATTAGAGCTCTCATGAGAGCTTCGCTCACAAATCCCATCTATCATCACTGTAACAACAGGAATCCCCAGAAAAAGAAACCCAACAATGTCATCATCAAAGAAAGAAGCCCTTTTCATATTATCACTCATAATTCTCTGGTACTCCTCAAATATTGGTGTCCTCCTCTTAAACAAGTTCTTGCTCTCCAATTATGGCTTTGTCTTCCCAATCTTCCTCACAATGTGTCACATGACAGCCTGTGCTGTTCTAAGCTACATTTCAATTGTTTTCTTGAAAGTTGTTCCCTTTCAAAAGATCAAATCTAGGTCTCAGTTCTTGAGGATTGCAAGTTTGAGCATTGTGTTTTGTGGGTCTGTTGTTGGTGGAAATATTTCCCTTAGGTACCTCCCTGTGTCTTTCAATCAGGCTGTGGGTGCGACGACGCCATTTTTTACAGCATTGTTTGCCTATTTGATGACCCTTAAGAAAGAAGCTTGGGTTACATATGCTGCGCTTGTACCAGTTGTTGCTGGGGTTGTGATTGCAAGTGGGGTATGCTTATATTTTTCAATCCTTAATTGTTTGATTTGGGTAATTAGTTTAACTGTGAATATTATTCTGTGGGATGGTTCAACCTGATTTTTCTACAAAAAGTGAATATATGATCTATACTTTAATGTTATGTTTGTAGTTGTTAAAATTAATTACTTTATGGGGTGCTAGTTTAATAAATGAAGATCTAGATCTGAAATTTTAATATTTGTGAGAATGGCATTTCCATTTGTGTTCTCACAATGCCTGTACGATCTGTAAAGGTAGCAATTGTACGTTCTTTTTCCTTATGTTGTTAAAATTTATGCAGAGGTTACTTGAAAACTGTATTCTTTATTTCGCTTGAAGTACTTTAGTTTCAAAGCTTATATTAGGAATAAATTCAGATTTCAGAGCATGTAAGTATGATGTTTATTTAGGTGTATGTACATTTGAAAAAACTGAATATGCACACAAATGTCTGTGGGTGCGCTTGCCCTTGTTTGTGTGTGGAGTTGCATCACAGAGATCTGAGTATTCTAAGCAGAAAAGGTCTCACCTAGCATTTTTGGCCTCTTCTCAAATTGATATTCTAGTCCAAGCTTAAAGTTAAAACCTTAGTCATCATACTCATCGAGTATCTAAATTGAGTGTACTCAAAAAGAATATTCTTTTTGGAGATGCGTAGAGGCAGGCCCAATCATTGAGTGTTGTTTGAAAATATGGTTGACTGGGCCAAACTGATGAGTAGGTGAAATGGGTTCCAGATTTTTCAGGTGTTCCTAGATAATGTGCTTTGCATTAACTTTGCCAGTGTGTTTTGTTGATGAATGTCTGAATAAGTATACAGTTTTTACCGTATTGTTTTACAGGGGCTAGAATACACATTATGCCTTACTGGTATTATTTTTTGTAGAGCAGGATTTGTAACTAGGTTATTCTTTATATGGAGAACAATAAATTCCTACCTTGTGCTGGATACACAGCCAACCCCATCCCATTTTTTTGAAAAAAACAATGTCTAATCTGGTTTCGGTGTCAATAATGAAATTTTCTTTGTGGTGGCAGGGCGAGCCAAATTTTCACTTGTTTGGATTCATTATGTGCATAAGTGCAACTGCTGCAAGGGCCTTGAAGTCTGTTCTTCAGGGTATTCTACTTTCTTCTGAAGGGTAAATGCTCTGCTGCTTCAGTTATTAACGTCCCATCTGCTCATCTGCGCGTCTTCCCTTACCTCTATAGTTATCTGTATGTGCCTCCCATTATGAATACCATGACCCTCATCTTTTACATTTGTCTTCTCTTTTTGTTTGAGATATAATTATTGCTAATTAACTAATTATGCTACCATTGTGAAATATAGGAGGGATTGAGGGGTTCATGAGATGGTAATGAAGAGCAATGGCATAATATATTTAAGCAACATATAACAAAACACAGAAAATCTCAATGTTTAACCCAGCCGTAAGGCTTCTCAAACAGTAAGATCTTAAAAGTTGAGATATGGTACAGCTAATCAAGACTGACATGTAAGCAGGGTTTCTAACGCAAAAAATTTAAAATGTGAGTGTCCTTGTTACTCAGCGCAAAGGGAAGATAAAGAAAGAACTATAAAAGAGAAGCACATCATGCCATGTTTCTGCATTGCGAGTTTATCGTATTCATCTTTGGTAGTAGTATGTTTAGTCATTAATTATGGCCTTTTTTTCTTTTCACGGGAGTCACAAGCAATTGGTTTTGATTTGGTTTTTTCTTTACTACTAGTCAATTGGCAGTTTTTTTTAATGTCAAACAGCAGTTACCCTAAGGTGATTTTGAACCCTCTCCCAGGCTCACATTATTTTCTTTGGAATAGATTTAACTTTTCAATCTGAAGGTACACGACCTAAAATAGTGATATTCCAGGCTTTAATTTTTTTTTTTTGTACTTCCTTTTAAAGCATGGACCTTACTTTCTTCGGTGGATTTTCTAATATTGCAGACATTATCAAGAAACTTTAATCTTTTACATCTTCTGCAGCTTCTTAAAAGCAATTAATCTTTGTGCTTGCATTTAAATTAATGAGAATGCTGTCCATTAAAATGATCTTTTTTATAGTAGATTCACTGAATCTATCTATAGTTTTTGATGTACTTATGTTCGTAAGGTGAGAGGAAGGCCTAAAACTCTCATTGGTTGCTTCTAGTTATGTTTTGTCTTAGTCTACATCGGTCTTGGACCAAGTTGCTTTTTACAGGATTGTTGCATGTTCCCTTTTTCTTTTCTTTGCTTTTTCTTTGGTTTACAATGCTTCCCTCATTTTAGATTGAGTACACTGCTCAAATGTATCATTGAGACCAAATGTGCATTTTCCTATTATAATGTACTTCATACGGTACCTGACTGTACTGGTATTTATCCGTTTCATCGGTTAAGTTGTTTGTCATGTTTTTTTCTTGTGTTTTTGTTTGTTTATTTACTTTTTGGTAGAGAGGGATAGATAAATTCATTTGCTTAACCTTGAGACTATTAGTTCCAGTTTTATAAGTGCAAAACCAGTTGAAATACATATAACAGGAAAAGTGACGGTTCAAGAGGTTTTTAACCTGTCTTAGTTTGCTCATTATTAACAGTATATGTTTCTCAAATATGATGCTTGCTCATCCATGATCAAGTATGTTTCCTTTTTGATTTCCCCACAACTTTGCTATGTCAATGGGCGTGTCAACTCAGTGAATGATGGGTTTCATATTTGTTTTTCAGTCATGTAAGTTTGTTGCCACTGAACTTGATGTAAGTTTTGGTCAGGAATGGAAAGAGACGGATTAGGATATGAAACAATACTTATAGCACTATGTCCAATATATCTCACTTTTTCCTTTTGTGCATTTTCTCCAAAGGGTAGTTAAATACATTAAAAGCATCAGAGTATTTCAGGATTAAGGGGCTTAAAATGAAATTGGGACCTCCTTCTAGATTACCCCATTTCATCTATGCTTGTGTCTGCTTCAATTTCAACACTTCGCATGTTCCGTTGCAGTTTATTGATTTTGTAGCAAATTAATGTTCTCTTTTGAATCTCTCCTGCAATTCATATCTGTTAATGCATTTTATGGTGATCGAGAAAGATGTAGGCTGATTAGATAGTGGGATTTTATTTTTTCATTTTCTCTTCCACATTTCCTGCATTTTATGGTCATGCTAATGGTAATTTTTGTGCTTGATCCGGTGCCTGAGAAAACAGTGTTAACCGTCATTGGGGAAAATGAAAAGAAAGGAAGGAAGAAAAAAGTGAAATAAACCACTCAAAATTTTGGTGTCTTACAAGTTCAATTGTCTCTATGGAACTCCAGAAGTTTCTCTTCTTCCTTTTTCTCCATGTTCTCTTAATCCACATGGTCCACTAATTCTCATCACGTTTTGATATATGACTTTTTTTGCATTGTTTCAGGGAAAAGTTAAACTCCATGAATTTGCTGCTCTATATGTCCCCAATAGCTGTTCTAGTTTTGTTGCCTGCCACAGTTGTGATGGAGCCCAATGTGTTGGATGTCACCATATCACTTGGCATGAAACATAGATTCATGTGGCTACTTCTTTTGGTTAATTCGGCAATGGCTTATTCTGCCAACTTGACCAATTTCCTGGTGACTAAGCATACAAGTGCACTAACACTCCAGGTTTTCATCTCTCTCTCTCTCTCTCTCTGTGCACACAAATGTGTTATACATAAACAACGTACTGGTAGTTTTTTGAGTATGCAGCAAGCTACTCTTTTCAGCGCAGATGTTTTTTATGTCTCCTTTCTTCTCTAGTTCCTTTCCAAACAAACGAATTCACACCTCCAAATTTCTAACAAACCTAGTGAATTATTTGTCCTTGAAATACCCAGAAGTACTTACAGCACCTTCAAGTTTCTGAACTTCATTTTTCCTCTGAAATTATGTTGTTATCAGGTATTAGGCAATGCCAAAGGTGCTGTTGCTGTCGTTATCTCAATACTCCTGTTTCGAAATCCAGTCACCTTTGTTGGGATTGCTGGTTATTCGTTGACAGTTATGGGGGTGGTTGCTTATGGAGAAGCCAAAAGGAGACACAAATGATCGATTACACGACCATGTTTTTCCTTTTCTCATTCCATTGTTACTTTGCCTGCTCAAACAGGCAGCATAGAGAGATCCTCATTTTTTATGTCATAGTTGATTTTTTCCTTTTCTTTTTTTTTTTTTTTGGGGGGGGGGGGGTGGGGGTGNATTTTATTTTTTCATTTTCTCTTCCACATTTCCTGCATTTTATGGTCATGCTAATGGTAATTTTTGTGCTTGATCCGGTGCCTGAGAAAACAGTGTTAACCGTCATTGGGGAAAATGAAAAGAAAGGAAGGAAGAAAAAAGTGAAATAAACCACTCAAAATTTTGGTGTCTTACAAGTTCAATTGTCTCTATGGAACTCCAGAAGTTTCTCTTCTTCCTTTTTCTCCATGTTCTCTTAATCCACATGGTCCACTAATTCTCATCACGTTTTGATATATGACTTTTTTTGCATTGTTTCAGGGAAAAGTTAAACTCCATGAATTTGCTGCTCTATATGTCCCCAATAGCTGTTCTAGTTTTGTTGCCTGCCACAGTTGTGATGGAGCCCAATGTGTTGGATGTCACCATATCACTTGGCATGAAACATAGATTCATGTGGCTACTTCTTTTGGTTAATTCGGCAATGGCTTATTCTGCCAACTTGACCAATTTCCTGGTGACTAAGCATACAAGTGCACTAACACTCCAGGTTTTCATCTCTCTCTCTCTCTCTCTCTGTGCACACAAATGTGTTATACATAAACAACGTACTGGTAGTTTTTTGAGTATGCAGCAAGCTACTCTTTTCAGCGCAGATGTTTTTTATGTCTCCTTTCTTCTCTAGTTCCTTTCCAAACAAACGAATTCACACCTCCAAATTTCTAACAAACCTAGTGAATTATTTGTCCTTGAAATACCCAGAAGTACTTACAGCACCTTCAAGTTTCTGAACTTCATTTTTCCTCTGAAATTATGTTGTTATCAGGTATTAGGCAATGCCAAAGGTGCTGTTGCTGTCGTTATCTCAATACTCCTGTTTCGAAATCCAGTCACCTTTGTTGGGATTGCTGGTTATTCGTTGACAGTTATGGGGGTGGTTGCTTATGGAGAAGCCAAAAGGAGACACAAATGATCGATTACACGACCATGTTTTTCCTTTTCTCATTCCATTGTTACTTTGCCTGCTCAAACAGGCAGCATAGAGAGATCCTCATTTTTTATGTCATAGTTGATTTTTTCCTTTTCTTTTTTTTTTTTTTTGGGGGGGGGGGGTTGGGGGTGTTAGAGAGTACGTTCATCGGACTGTATTATGCATATTAGCAAGTGTTTGATTGTATGAGATAATTCATGATATATTGTTGTTGTTCTCCATTTCTTGTTAAAATATTTTTTGTTCTTGTTAAAATGTTGGTTGAGAGAATGAAAATTTCGGTGGCAAGCTGAACAAATATTTTTTTTCCAAAAAAATATTTGAAATATTATTTAGACCAATGAACTTACTCTCTATTATTTGTTTGATAACACTGAAAATTAAGTACTAAATACTAAATTTTAAGCGAATGCTAAATTTCTTAATATAAAATTTATATGATATAGTAGGAAATTTTAATTGCTGAATTGCATCAAACTGGTAAAACTATTACTTTCCTACTATCTTTTTTTCCCTCCACTACCAATACCCTACCACCTCCACACACCACTATCCCGTTTAATTTTGGTGGAGTGGCAGCGGCAGTAGGGTGGTGGGTGATGGCAAACAATGGCGATAGTGGGGGTGGATGGAGGTGATTATGGTAGTGGTAGTAGTGATGGGGTTGTAGGGTGGTGGCGACAATGTTGTTGGGTGGTGGTGGGGTGGGCGGTGAAAGAGGTAGTGGTGGGGGTGTGATGGCAGCAATGTTTGTGGTTAAGGAGGTGATGATGGTGGTGGCAGCAGTGAAAGTGAGAGGGTAGTTGTTGTAATGGGAAGATGGTGATGGTGGTAGTGGTGTGGCAGCAGTGGCCTTGATGATGGTGGCAGCAATGGGGGTGGTTGAGATGGGAAGGTGGTGGGGTTGTGGCGTAGGTGGCAATCGCATTGGCGGCAGTGGTGGCAATAGTGCGGTGGGGGTAGAAAGTTGAGTGAGAGATGGATTAAAATTAAAATATTCAAGGGCAAATTAGCTAATGTAGATGGGAAAAAGGAATAAAAGAGGGTGCACAGAACAACTGTAAGCAAAACATGTAACCACTCCATATCCAAGTCAGAACAAGGCCACAGATACAGACACTTCCTAATCAGAATGTTTTTTTAAACAACCCAATGACCTGAATTTGAAAACTGAGTTCAAAATACGGGGCTACAAGGAACTTCCCACCACTGAAAAACTAACAATGATCCACGACGGCCTATTTCATCTCTGAGAAACAACAGAAAATGTGAAGAGTGGCTTCGATATCACGTTCAAAACACAATTAAAGTCTATTTTCTAGCAATTAGGTGGTCATGGTAGAGGTTAGAAGGTTATATATTGCAATGGCTGCTTGTCTTCTGCCTGCTCCTTTATTTCTTTCTTTTTCTTTTCCTTTTTTGAAGAGCTTCTATGATGACTTCAAAGTTGCCATTCACACATTCAGCAAGTCACTTTCAAGGGATTTGGACTTGATGCTGCTTTTGTATGTGGCCGCTTTCTATTACTCAAGCAAGTTCAGGGCCACTCGGGAGCATATCATAACCATCGTGGTGCTTGGCAGTGTTTCTTTTCACAGGGATGCACTTCAAAACAACTGCAATGGGCATGCTCACTGCTCCAATCAAAATGCTGAGTAACCACAGTTCCCAGCCTAAAGGTACAGTGTTTGCAAAAGTGCCCAGGAACTCGACTATAATCACTTGGAATACCACTGTGCAAACCATGACGCCTACGAATATCCAGCCATTGAACATGCCACGGAGAATGTTTATCTTCTCAATGTCACGGCTGTTTATTTCATTGAACACCTGGAAATTGAAACAAATAAATCCAGTCTAATCAATGAATGCATATGTATGGTCAGGCATCAAAGGTCATATCAGCCACAAGTTGCTCTTAGAAGCATTTACAGGTTACTTTCTTTATCCCTAAAGTAACACATAAAGGCCCGTGAAAGGACTGGCAGATTTCTTGGAAGCACATCCCCCTTGGGATTCAGAATCAATTTTCTTCAAATTTCCATTAGATTCACATATTCACAATTCAGAGAGAAAAAATCAACAAAAGATACTTTTGGGATACTTTGGGACACAAAGTTATCCAACAACAAGCAATCTCGCAAAGACAATATATAAGCTAAAGCTGAAAGATAAAATACCTGACAAAACACAAAGGTGTTGAATACGAATGTCTTGAGAATGTCTGTAGCCTCTGGTCCTTCAAGTCTCAAAAGTTGCTTCCCATCATAGTTGAGAACTAAAAGGATAGCCAGTTGATAAATACTTTGCCCAATGATATTTCTCCACATGGCATTGGTAATAAAACTCTCATTCCTCCTAACAGGAGGCCTATTCATCAGTCCATCATGTGGCGGTTCCGTAGCCAGTGCCAATGCACCAAGAGTGTCCATGATCAGGTTGACCCATAGCAACTGCACAACCGTTAGGGGTCCAGATCCTGAAAGTTACAGAGAAGATGCTGATGATAACTGGGGGTACTGCAGGAATGAAAAAGCCACGTCTATTAACCAACTCACCTGAGATGCATGCAGAAACAAAATTGATCATGAGAGCGACAATGTTGACAGTTAACTGGAACTGCACAAACTTTTGAATGTTGATATATACTGAACGTCCCCATTTAGCTACATTCACAATGGTACTAAAATTGTCATCCAATATGATGACATCAGCATTTTCTTTAGCAACCTGTGAATATGTTCTTTAATAAGTAAGACAAAATATAACGAAAATTTGGGAACAGATGGAAGGGCACTCAGTTTAACATGCGCCACTCATGAAAAATTAATCCCGTTATCTATCATGAATCCACACAGAATTCTTTTGGCAATATGAAATGAGGGTTATAAAGATGAGACTACATTAGAAACTCATAAAAAAACAAAACAAGTAAGCAAAGTAGCCCCAAATTCAAAATCAAATGGAAATTGGGAATGAAGCATGCCAACGATGTTAGACAGAAAGACACATACTCTAAAAATAGTTTTAGTCAGTGCTTGATGAAAGAAACAACTTGACAAAAAATGAATGAAACAAAAACTAGAGGAAGTAAAACCAAAACAATATCACTAAAATGAGCATATACACAAACGACATAGCTAAAAAGCAGACAGACAAACCTCTGTTCCTGCTATACCCATAGAAAGACCAATGTCTGCTTCACGCAAGGCAGGAGCATCATTGGTCCCATCACCAGTAACTGCAACAACTTCTTTAAACCTGTTCTTCAAGTGAGTTACCAGTGTGTGCTTGTCCATAGGTGAAGACCGAGCTATTACCTGTATTCATTTCCTAATCATTATATAAAACAAGTGCACCAGCCACAACCAGTGATTGAAATATGACATGCTGTAATGAAATCAAATGTGAACCTTAATTCTAGGAATTATTTCCTTCATTTCCTCGAGAGTTTTGCTGCGAAATTCTGGTCCTTCTATGGCCAAACCATCTTCAGTGAGTATACCACATTCTTTAGCAATGGCTTTAGCTGTGTTAATATTGTCACCAGTGACCATACGCACGGTAATTCCAGCTGCTAAGCACATTCGAACTGCATCCTTTACCCCTGAACGAACTGGATCCTTAATTCCAACAACTGCTACCAAAGTGTAGCCGCTATCAGGGATGTTGTTATCGTTGATACTGTCATCGATATCCTTAAAAGCCAAGCAGAGGGTCCTCAAAGCTTCGCAGGCAAAACCATTGATGACATCAGTGATATTTCTTATTTGCTCCTCTGACATATGAACAGGTTCCCCATTTATATCAACAACCTTGTCACACATTCTTAAAATTATCTCTGATGCACCTTTGCAAAAGGCTCGGAACCCACCTTCCGGAAGAGAGGCTAGAACAGACATTTTTTTCCTGTTGGAATTGAAAGGTTCAACCTTCAGGATCTTACACTCCTGGCGATGAGCATCAAAATCACCACCCAGAAGCAACCCATATTCTAGTAATGCTGACTCAGTGGGTGTACCCAAAATGGATTTCTTTCCATCTTTATCCTTGACCACCTCAGAAGTTGTATTTTGAAATATAGCCTGCAAAAGGATGTTTAAAACCTTTTCTGATATTTCTGAATTCAACATACCTCCACCTTCACTACCTTTTATCTTTTTGGACTTACCACATATCCATATCTTATCAACCACCATATGGTTTGTTGTTAGCGTCCCTGTCTTATCCGTGCAAATGCAAGTAGCAGAACCCATTGTCTCACATGCAGAAAGATGCCTTACGAGTGCCTTCTCATTCATCAATTTTTGCATTGCGAAGGCAAGGCTCAGTGTCACTGCCAGTGGTAGTCCTTCTGGAACTGCAACAACTAGTATAGTTACCGCAGTAGCAAAGTAGTTCAAAAGCGTCAGGGCATCACTGAAAGACCAATCAGCGAACTCATGGTGAAGTGCTTTATCTACCAGGAATCGTACTGTCAGCACCACAAATGTGATCACAGAAAAAAGCATTCCAATCTTACCAATAGTCGTAGCAACGCCATTCAGCTTCACCTGCAGTGGGGTTTCATCTTCTCCACCCTCATTTAGAGTCTCCATCAACTTACCCCATTCAGTTCGCATGCCAACAGTAGTTACCAGCATCTTACCAGACCCATCTTGCACTTTGGTTCCTGCAAGAAGAAATGGGTTTTTTTCATATATATTTACAGGCTCACTCTCGCCTGACAAGCTTGACTCGTCAAGCAACAAGCTGTATCCTGATATAAATATCCCATCAGCTGGAACTATGTCCCCTATGGATAAATGAACGACATCTCCAACAACCAAGTCATATATGGAAACCTTCTGCCTAAGTTTATCTCTAATGACCTGAATAAATATCTTTTTCTTCTCCTTATCCAAGTCCCTGAACTGCAAAGATTGCTTGTAGTCACTGATTGAAGTAACGATGACTACCAAGAATATGCTCAGTACGATTCCCAATCCATCATATAGACCCTTTGGCCATCCTTCAGTGGCAAGTCCAACACCTATTGAAACCACAGCACAAACCATAAGGATAACAAGTGTTAAATCGTGTAAAGTATCCCACACAAACATCCAAAAACTTCTAGCAGGTTTCTCAGTATATCTGTTGCAGCCATAGATCTTCTGCCTGATAGGCACATCACTTGTTTTGATTCCTTCTTTCAATGAGACTTTTACTCTACTAGAGATTCCTTCGACTCCGCTGAGTAATCTCAAGATCTTGATTTCATGGTTACGAACAATAGATGCAAGTTTGTCTGCATTAATTCTAAAGCCTGCTTCTCTCGCTTCTTCCGAAAGCTCATCTTCAAAGCCCCCCTTTTTAATCTCTTCCAAAAGCTCATCTTCGGTCCTTGTTTCTTTAGCCTCTTGCACTAGTTTGCTTTGTTCAAAACCTGTGCAAGCAAGAGAAAGCAAAAGTGAAAACACACATAGGTCATAGGCAAGGTCTTAATCAAGAAACAGTAACTTAAACAAAGAATATAATACGTACCGTCAAGAAACCTGAATGCTACCCTATAAGCAAAAAAGGCACGCCGTAGATCATCCTGGTAAATTAAATATAAACAATGAAAAAGGAGCACGATTAGATGAAACAAATTAAATGAGAACAGTCACCCTTTATGTTGTGGGTGTTCCAACATTACTAGTAGTATTCCTTTCAAGTACCTTCTGAATGGAAAGAATAACAAAACTGATGGTGTGTCAAGTTGATGCTATGTAGCTTAAGTTCAGTTTATATTGTGTAGCAAGAGAATTTGTGTACAACAGAATGCGAACTTTAGCATTAGTTGCACGGTACACCAATATGATAGCTTGCCCAAGGCAGTACAATGACCATTGATAGATTATTCCATAGCTAGTAGGTTCTGTAATGAATGGTGTTACTAGTAAAGATAGAGCTTTCAACGAATCAGATATAATGTTGAAAATGTGATCAAATAGTTCAACTTTGGCAAGAAAGGTGTAATCATTACCGCAACGTGACCCAAAGGTGATTGATCCATTAAGTAATGGATTTACAACCCAGTTCACTAGTAAGCCTATCTGGCTAATTTTCCATATGCATCAACACTACTGATAAAAGGCAGCTAAATGAAAAAAACTTTCATTTTTCTATTTTATCCCTAAATAATTTATAAAGTCTATTTTATCACTTCATTTCTATCTGTGTGTGTGTGTGTGTTTCTAATTTAAGAAGGAATCATGATTGTGGACTTTTGCCATACCATTAGTTCCAAAAACTTTCAGCAAGTGGTGTTTGAACCTTCTACAAAAAGGAAAAAAAAAGTGGTATTTGAACCACATGCCAATCATTGTTTTTTATCATACTTTATATGTTAGTTTACATACAGTAACCATTTTTTAATATGCCCAGAAACCTCTTCACTTCATTATTGCTATTTGCCTCTAAATATTCAAGACTTCAGCTTCAAATGTAATTGAACAATTTATGCTCTCATATTGTCATTTCTTTCATAACCGATGCAAGCAATTCCTTAACGTGTAGCAGTGTTACTAAGGCAGCAAGGTCCCTTGTGGCCGAGGCGCGAGGTACAAGGTGAGGCTGCGTGGGCCTCATTGAAGTAAGGCACAAGTCATAGATAACATGCAAATGATTGTTCAAAATATGACATAACATAAAAAAACACAAAATATAAGCAAATATTCAAAGGATGCAAACATCATAAAATATTCAAGTTCCCAAATATTCCAAACAAAGGCTGATTAGAATAAACAGAGGCTGTTTCAATAAATAAAACTTCCCAGTTTATGCAAATATCAATCCGTATGAATTATGACAACAATAAAACATTCAACCAACAATTTTACAAAACTAGTTCAGTTATTGACAATAACAGAGTTATATCATTTATCAAAACACAACCAAAAAATCAATTAATTCTAATTAAATAAGACAAGTATGACAATTGAATCGAGACAAGAGGCAACTCTTAGGGCTTTCTTTTGGCATTGAGTTGGGTCAGATTAAATTTTATAATATATTTTGTGTATCCCTCACACCCAACACATCGTGCCCTTGCACAAAGATAATAACCCGCATGTATTTGGAAGAGAAAAAGGCCAAAAAAAAAAAGTTTTCACTAAAGCGCACCTGATAGGCACTTGAGTTTTGTGCCTAAGGGCACTGGGCGTCTGCCTTATTCACGTGGCTTTACCTGATTTTGGCAAGGCACTATAGTTGGGACTTGTTGCACCAAGTCGCGGGCCCAAACACGCCTTTAACAAACCTAATGTGTAGACTCTACAAATTCTGTGAATTGGTGCCTCAATCTGCAATAAATATAGCCTTTAACTATTGGAAATAAGAGATTGTTGGGTGAACTTTCTTATGGAACTGGTTGATCGGTTTGTTTTCAATTTTTGTGTAGGGTCAAATTAGTGTATTGCTGCAGCACTGCTTGATAAGTGCGCAAGGTGTGGAAGAATGACAAACGCTAGGAAGATGATCTGCCAGGAAAGTTCAAAAATATGGACATGAACGAAATATGGGTGTACAATTCAATTATATCCTCATAGTTACTTTCCTCTAATTTTTGTTTTCTATACCTATTTGACTCCCATGTTCTTTTAAACTCTTTCATAAGTAGTATTTGACTTCCAAATTCATTTGGACTCATTTTTAAGTAGTGCACTAACATACATTTTTCTATGTCTGTGTCCATATTTATATGAAAAAGCAAAGTTCAATCTACATTCTATTATTATATATATGTAGAAACAACCTTACAATCAAGCTTCATTATAAGCAAAGGAGGAATGGACTAAAGGGGCCGGGGAGATGCCTAAATAAATGACAGATTGAGTACTCAAAGTGGGTAGAATAGACCAATAATTAGATTTAGCACGAACTACAATAAGAATTCATTTGCCCGCACGTAATTTATTATTTAATTTAATTAGACATATGCGTGGTGCGTTTCTTATATTATAGTTTTATACTTACTTTTTGGGTATATATCTATTCCTATAATGGATATATGAAAATAAGAATCACTATTCTACACATCAAGCATCAAAAGCATATTTAGATAAGATAAGTTACACTACCATGCTGATGCACAAGTGTACTATGCTACAACATAATCGTATGTTATCGCCCTCGACGGGCATATTATTTAAGAAATTAAGGTGCTGGGTGTAAATATTAATTCATTCATGGTATAAGTCATCTTGTAGGACTTATTTTTAAATTTCATCAAATTGATGTGCAACTTATGGCATTTTGTTTTGTTATATTTTCCATCTTTGATAGGGAAACTTTATGTATCTCAGCTAGTGTATGTCTCATCTCACCTAATGTGAAATCGAGGGATTCTATCTTTTTATTTAATTTTTTTAATTTCACAGCACTATGAAACGTTGTTGCTGTCTATGTGAAAAATGAATCTTCACAATTGCGTCAGGGTTAATTTCTAATTTGGGATTGGCTTTCCGTAATATTCTGAAATCTTGGAATTTCGACTCCAAATCATCCTAATACATTCTAAAACATGGGAAAAGAAAAGGAGAAAAACTAATATTATAGAAGGTAAATAGTATAGACATGCCAGCATGTCAATNAAGGGCACTGGGCGTCTGCCTTATTCACGTGGCTTTACCTGATTTTGGCAAGGCACTATAGTTGGGACTTGTTGCACCAAGTCGCGGGCCCAAACACGCCTTTAACAAACCTAATGTGTAGACTCTACAAATTCTGTGAATTGGTGCCTCAATCTGCAATAAATATAGCCTTTAACTATTGGAAATAAGAGATTGTTGGGTGAACTTTCTTATGGAACTGGTTGATCGGTTTGTTTTCAATTTTTGTGTAGGGTCAAATTAGTGTATTGCTGCAGCACTGCTTGATAAGTGCGCAAGGTGTGGAAGAATGACAAACGCTAGGAAGATGATCTGCCAGGAAAGTTCAAAAATATGGACATGAACGAAATATGGGTGTACAATTCAATTATATCCTCATAGTTACTTTCCTCTAATTTTTGTTTTCTATACCTATTTGACTCCCATGTTCTTTTAAACTCTTTCATAAGTAGTATTTGACTTCCAAATTCATTTGGACTCATTTTTAAGTAGTGCACTAACATACATTTTTCTATGTCTGTGTCCATATTTATATGAAAAAGCAAAGTTCAATCTACATTCTATTATTATATATATGTAGAAACAACCTTACAATCAAGCTTCATTATAAGCAAAGGAGGAATGGACTAAAGGGGCCGGGGAGATGCCTAAATAAATGACAGATTGAGTACTCAAAGTGGGTAGAATAGACCAATAATTAGATTTAGCACGAACTACAATAAGAATTCATTTGCCCGCACGTAATTTATTATTTAATTTAATTAGACATATGCGTGGTGCGTTTCTTATATTATAGTTTTATACTTACTTTTTGGGTATATATCTATTCCTATAATGGATATATGAAAATAAGAATCACTATTCTACACATCAAGCATCAAAAGCATATTTAGATAAGATAAGTTACACTACCATGCTGATGCACAAGTGTACTATGCTACAACATAATCGTATGTTATCGCCCTCGACGGGCATATTATTTAAGAAATTAAGGTGCTGGGTGTAAATATTAATTCATTCATGGTATAAGTCATCTTGTAGGACTTATTTTTAAATTTCATCAAATTGATGTGCAACTTATGGCATTTTGTTTTGTTATATTTTCCATCTTTGATAGGGAAACTTTATGTATCTCAGCTAGTGTATGTCTCATCTCACCTAATGTGAAATCGAGGGATTCTATCTTTTTATTTAATTTTTTTAATTTCACAGCACTATGAAACGTTGTTGCTGTCTATGTGAAAAATGAATCTTCACAATTGCGTCAGGGTTAATTTCTAATTTGGGATTGGCTTTCCGTAATATTCTGAAATCTTGGAATTTCGACTCCAAATCATCCTAATACATTCTAAAACATGGGAAAAGAAAAGGAGAAAAACTAATATTATAGAAGGTAAATAGTATAGACATGCCAGCATGTCAATCAAGATCCTTATTTACCCTTTTGTAAGATTATAATGTTTTGTTTGGTACGATGAAAAATTGAAGAATGAAAAATTAGAAAGATGGATAAAATATTATATTTGGCAACGAAGAAAAATAGGAGGATGAAAAAATAGATGTATTAGTTTTCCTTCTAACTTACCAAAATTAATCACTCTAAAATGAGAAAAAGTGGATGTAAAGTTAATTATGTGTGTTGAAATGTATGTTATTTATCTACGTATTCTTTAATTTATGCATATATCATATCTATCTATTACATATTATATATACATTAACTTGATATATAAATATAATGGTAAAATATGCATCTATAATTTTTTAATCCTTCCATTTTTCAGTCTTATCAAACACAAAAATATCAATTTTTTCTACTTTCAATTCCTCCTATCAAACACAAAGAATGAAAGGAATGATTCTTCCCTTGGAGGATAAAAGATGTATAACTCCCATTTTCCATCCTTCCATTTTTTCATCCACCCTACCAAACACAACATAAGATTTGGTATTTAGATTATCACAATTTCAAAAGGATGTGTATTTTTATTTCATAGTATTTTGAAACGTTGTCACAATCCATGTCTAGTTACGCAAGAGTCTATTTTCAAATTAGATTTTAAGTTGTGACTAGAGGGCTTCCGTGAAATGAAAAAAGAGAAGAAGAAAAGCTAATATCATCAAGCTTATTTATACACTATTCTAACTAGATAGGTGATCCCCTAACACTCTTTTAAGACTCCAAAGTTTGGAATTCAAATCCTGTCAATCTCAAATTATTCTTTTAAAGCTAATATTTGGGATTCAAATCATATCGATTTCAATTTGGGACTTCACATCCCATTTTAAAAATGGATCATCTTAAATGCACAAAGCTTTATTGCCACATTAGATAAATAGGGAAGAAGAACAACTAATATCATCCACTTATGAAGAGTACTAACAAGTCAATATATCAATCAAGATCACCTTGCAATATTATGCTTATAAATAGTTACGTAATCCCCCAAAACAATCACTAACCTTCTTTTAAGATTATAAAATCCAATATTCAAATCATCTCGACTTAAAATTTTTCAATTTCAATCAAGTTCAATCATCCACCGTTAAATTTATTGAGTATCACTACTAGAATTTTATGAATCTCCCTAAAATTCAATGGTACCCAATAAATTAACGATGAATGACTAAACTTGATTCAAATTAACAAAATTCAAAATTTAGAGAAGGTCCGAATCCTAGCGTTTGAATTTTGACCTCTAGCATACACCTTAAAGTTCAATAGTAAGTAAAAAGACATGAAGCGTTGTATCCTAAAAAGAAAGATAATCCCAAGTGGCAGATATGAGAGAAAACCATACAAGTTGCCAGCACAGACAACAGAGGACAAGGCTGAAACTAGCAGTGGGAGTAGTAATGAGAATAGGATCTTAACATATCAAAACAGGACAGAAGATAATTAAAGTTTTTGACCATAATGTTTCTTTCTTGTTTGACTCTTTGTTTTTCTTTATATTGTGGGGTTGTGACTGCGTCATAGGAAGGTACAACGAAATTTCATTGCCTTGCTATTATGGACAAGTGTGGGGCCAAAAAGTTTTCATTTTTATATTTAAACAATTATAGACCAAGCACTCTCCCACCATCTCCTCTGACAAAACCCAGCATCCACATTGTTATAGTCCCAACTTGACAAGTGGGAAAAGAAAAGATCTAATCCTAATCCTAAAGCTAAAAGATTTTCCCCAACGAATGTCAAACAAGTCAATTAATACACTTTCCATCCAAACCACAAATACCCCAAGAGATGAGATAACTAGGCATATAAAAGTCATGTGTGGTGAAGAATGTTCTTGTCTATAACGAATTTAAGAAAATAATTGTTAAGCAGTCTTATTCATTCGAGTCTATAATGTTTTTTGATGAACTCAGACAAGGTAAAAACACATAATTTTTCGTAATAATAATAGGCATGACAGTTTATTTCCAGCTTTCGAGTTCAATCAAATACAATAAAACAACATTTATAAGTGATTATAAGCCTCCTGAGTAAAATAACTATTGTTTTTAATTTATTTATTCTGCTAAATAAAAATAATTTATCAAACTATCATCATTTTACACTAAAAATGTATTTCGAAATTACACTTTCAATATTTTTTCATTAAAAGTGTGTTTCGAAATACGCTTTTGAAAGAGTAAGACTACCCGTAAACCTACAGGACAAGTTGAATCATGACAATTTCTTAGAGTCGGGTCACGAGGAATACCCTAATTTCAACATAAATGATATGCCTATGACAAGATTAGAAAGTAAATTAGTTTAGAGAATCGCATCAATAGAGTCGGGTCACGAGGAATACCCTAATTTCAACATAAATGATATGCCTATGACAAGATTAGAAAGTAAATTAGTTTAGAGAATCTTTGATGCGAGTATAAACTAACCCATGAACCAAAAAAAAAAAAAAAAGGGTAAGACTATGCATCTTAGTCCTCAATTTTATTTTAGATGATTTGAAATTATTGATTAAAAAATAATAAAATAATAAAACTATACATGTAATAAATTTTTAATTTACAAAAATTAAAAATACAACTACCTCAAAAAGTGGCGGCAATTCAACTCCAAGATAGCTCAAAGTGGTGGCAATTCAACTCCAAGGTAGTTCAAAATGATAACAAGGATCGAGTTTGCGGTCAATTTGATTTCTTTTTTCTTGGGAACCAAACACGAGAGAGAGAGAGAGAGAGAGAGAGAGAGAGACAGAGAGAGTGTGAGGATGAGGGTGAGAGAGAATACGGACCTGGGCTTTGCGAATCTTGTTTTGGGCTTCACAGCGCTTGACGAGATTAGCAACCATACGAAACCTTCGTCGTCGGTTGAGGACGACGGTTACCGCCTTTCTCCACTTTTCCAACGATTCGTCCGAAGCGTTTTTCGATGGAATATCGAAGGGAGTCAATAGATTATCCATATTGCTGAGAGACCAGTGGATCCCTATGTATACATATATATGTGTGCGTGTTTGAGCGAGAGAAAGAGAGTGAACTATGGCAACAACTGTGAGTGAGCAGGAGGGTGGCTAAGAAAGAGGATGGAAATGTAGTCTCATCTGGATGGAACAGTGGAACTCGGTTGTTTAATAGCAGGACACTCTACGCGTTTTTCGTTAAAAAACTAAGGCCAATATGCGTTTGTTGCGAAAAACTCTTTTAAAGAACAATAATTTATTGATTTAATTTATTATAATTTTTATATTAATTATAGATCCAATCAAATATTAGGACTTTAGTGATAATTTAATAATTTTAATAAAGTCATATTATTATATCAATAAATTATATCAAATTTTTAAGTCTAAATAACATTACCCTTTTTTAAGTAATGATATATAATTTAAATGAAATCCAAAAAATTATAACACAAATGAGTAGATATTATAAATTTGTTCGGTGAGATTCACTCATTTAACACTCATTCAATGAATGATATATATTTAAGATGTAGTTTTTGGGTTTTATTTGGGTTGTATAGTATTTTTCTTATTTTTTTAGCAATGTTATTTCTATTTAATTTAGGAATTATTGCACTTTGCACTTTAAAAAATATCTCGATTCCCACTTTATATCCAAAAATACTATTTTTTTCAACGTTGAACCCTGAATGTCAAGAATTAATTCTAATATGAGAATTGAGACATATTTCATCGTACAAAATGCAAAAAGCCCTTTAATTTATTGATGTAATTTACTATTTAATTCACTATAATCATTAAATTGACGGTAAGTTCTATTAAAAAGTAAAACTTAATGTTAATTCAATTATTACAATAAAACTATATTATTAAGTCACCGCTTATAGATTTATTCTCCTGTGTGGAGAGACGATATTGCATAATGTCCAATATTAGTCTGAAAAATGAGCGGGCTAGTATTTACGGTGATCTATTAGAACAGTTGGAATATGAAAAGGGAAAAAAAATTATATGAGATTTTTAAGTCTAAATAGTATTATTCTTTTTTGGATTAATTGTACTAGAAGTCCCTAAAATATGAAATTTGTTTCATTTTAGTCCCTAAAATTTCAATTGCATCATTTTAATTCCTGAAATATTAAATATATTTCTATGTGGTCTCTCATGTAGATAATGTCCAGATTATTAATAATTTTTTATTATAAATTTATCACGTAATACTTAACTATGAGCAAAAAAAATAATTTACATAATTCTTAGCTAAATTTCAGTTGAAATTTTGGTTAAAAGATTACTCAAATTACACAGTTTTGATTATGAATTATCTAAATCTTGGTCGATAACTATCTATATTATATATTTTTAGTCAAGAGCTACCTAAATTATTTCTTACCCATATTTGGGTATCACTTGATAAACTTATGATAAAAAATTGTTAACAATTTGAATATTGTGTGTTTGAGGGATCGCATAGAAATTCAATATTTCATAGACCAAAATGAGACAAATCTCATATTTTATGGACTTTTATGCAAGTAACCCTTCTGTTTTTTTTTTTTTTGGATAAATGACACTTTATACTCTAAAAGAACTTTAAAATTTTAATTTACATATTCAATGATTAAAATTTTTACATTGCACAATTAAACAAGGGTTAATTGCTTTTTTTACCTCCTCATGGTTTCCTTTAGAAGTACTTTACTTTTGACATTTAAAATTATACACATTATCCCCTTATAATTTATGTACCAAAGTGAAATAGTTATTTTTGTCATCCAAATTAATGGAAAGTATGCTCCACACGTCAAAACATGTTATGAGTTTTGTTTCTATTATTTTCCTCCAAAAAAATATTGTCTAAGTGCCTAAAATAACTTTTATAATATAATATCCAAATAGGTAGGGCATCAGTTCCAGATCAAAAAACATGTAAAAAAAAACATAAGTGATTTTCGGCTCCGGATCAAAACCTCACTTGAGGGAAAAAGAGACTCAACATATTTGATTAAAATGTGTTAATTTTTTGTCACGTTCCATTAGTTTTGTGATTAAGGGTAAATCAGACAAAAAATTTAATTTTAAAACGTGGGTATTATGGTAATTTTTTAATTTTATTAAGAACGTCAATTGCTTCACTTTAGTACATAATTATAAAAGAGTATTGTGCATAATTTTAAATACCAAATAAATAAGGTGTTTATAGCGAAAATTACCTGGGGTAAAAAGCAATTAACCCATTAAATAAAAAGGCACTGGTTGCTCCATTTTAAGACAGTCACATACATAAAGGATGGTGTTGTCTACTACTCCTTTATTGTTTTGTATATTTATGAATCAAGAGATTGTTTAAGAATAAATTGTAATTATTATATTCATGGAATTAGGATACTGATGTGGCCATTAAGGTCTGCCTTTTCCAACACATACGAAATGAAAAAATGGAGTGGCATATGCTGTGGACAAAGAATAATACTATTTAGACCTAAAAATTTAATTTAATTTGTCAACATAATGATGTGGCTTTAATGAAGTCATTGGATTAACACCAAGTTCTAATGTTTGATGGGTCATACAATTAATCCAAATGTCATAGTGAATTAGGTCAACAAATTAGGTCTCAATAACCTTGCTCTTTGACAAATATGCAAACTTTTTTTGAGAATCTAATTGTATGGTTGGAGAAGGCACCTCCCTGGCTGTGAAAGGTCCAAAAAGAGACTTTGTTATCAATAGATGCGCAATAGAACAGACGAACGATGGAATAGAAATAAGACGGTGAATCACATTACAACGTTTTTATTTATTTAAGGAAATAATGTAAAAAAATTAATCATTTGAAGGATAAATTGGAAATTTTTGTATCATTCGGGGGATAAAATGGGATTTACCCTTAACAAAAAAAAAAAATTAGAAGAATAAAGTAGCAAATAAATTAATTAATTTTGTCATGTCCTCTCTTGGCCATTCTTCATAGGCTTTTTTTGCCAACTTTTCTTGATTCCCATTTGTAAATAGGAATATGTTTAGCCTTCCTGGTTCATTTTTAATTATGATGTATCTAATGAATTGCATTATTATTATTATTATTTTTGAATTTAATCTCTAATGTAAGGCTCATTGCGTCCCCTTATATGAATACTTATTAAAAATTTTCCCACTTCGTCGAGATTTGCAAGAAAAACGGAGACTTTTTCATGAATAAATGCACAATATGAAGATTAAGGTAATTTATTTTCACACAAAAAGAATCAAAGTAGCCCAGACTTGCTAAGTACAAAGGCCTATCAATTTCACGTAAACTCAAAACTCTTTTGATTCATTCTATCGGCTCTACTCATCCCAAATAGATATGATATCTTCCAGATTTTTGAATATAAATGAAGTCTAGTTTGGCATCTCCTCTCGCAACCTTTCTGGGTGGTCCTTTTCATCGGATTTCTCAATCTCAATATAGTTAAGAAGATATGGTTAGTCTTCATAATAGTTTTCATTTTGATGTTTCTCTTTTATGGTATTGTTGTTGGTTCTTTTTACGCTGGGGGGAGTGTTAAGGCTCACTACGTCGTATGCAGCTCCATTTGTTGATGTCTGAATGGGGTGAGATGCATACCATTCAGATTCAGGTTATCTATACTGACAAGAAAATGAATAAAATAATAGAGAGAGAGAGAGAGAGAGACTTGCTAATTTTGGTATTTGCTCTCGTTGTCTGTCTTAGTGGTCTTTTTTATTGAATTTCTTAATCTTATTTACTCTCAGGGATATATTTAGTTTTGTACTTTCCTTTTAAAATTATCATTCTAAGATATATCTCTTAGTGTTTCTATTTTCTTTTAGTAAAATCTTTCGTGCATCGTCGAATTTTGTTAAAAAGATGGAAGAGACACCCGACTTTATAATGTCTCTCCTTTGTTACCTCAATTCTAATAGGATTACTTTTTTTTTTTTTTTCATTTTTTTCCCTATTTGGTAAGGTCATCTTTGATTTTTTTGGGACTCGAGAGAACATATTAAAAAAACAAAAACAAGAAACTGTTCATCCTATGTAGGATTTAAGATCGAGTCTCACCAGCTGTTCAACGATTCTCTTCTTGCTTCTAAATGTATGTCAAATTTAAATTTAGATTTTTTTTATTATATTTTTTATTTTGATAAATCTTGTATTATTGATGAGCGAGTGACTCAAAAAATTATTCACAAAATATAAACAACTACTGGTTCAGAACTTCAGCATGAATAGGGACATGGTAAGCCGTCCCATTGGCTAGCCAAGAATCCTGCTAGATACTCAATTTTGAAAGGTCTTGAATCATATTTAAATACAATTTTAGCAAAATTCCAGAACATTGGGGCTAGAGCCTTACCACCCACAAAATCCTATGAACGTGGGCACAAATCTATATCATTTTAGCAAATAAACTATTCGAGAGGGGTTTTGAGAGGCCTTCCTCGTGCCATCTTCGGCTACGAATTATCTCCGATATACGTACGATGACGGGCATTACACATAAATTTTTTTGTTAAAATATTTAATAAAATATATAAAAAATAATAATTATGCAGTTACATTAGATATTATATCATACTTAAATAATTTAAATTCTCTTTATAACTTTAAACATCATATCGACTCACTTTTTTGCGGTTCTTTCATTAGAGAGCTACTAAGTAGTATGATTTGTGAAAAAAACTTTCTCGATTATTTTTTTTTTTTGGTCTTTCTTGTATTTACTTTGTGCATCAGTAATTTTTAACCAAATTATTTTCATTGTGAATTTATCCGTTTTTTTGACATTGGAGATAATATTATATCAATTGAGTTGTCAATGTATATTAATATTAGGGTTTTGAGAAAAAAGAATAATGTTTTTATATATCATATTAAACATAATACGACCATTCAAAAGTTTTGTAAAGATAGAGAAATTTGCACGATATATTAAAGATTAATTTGTTATTTAAATATAAAGAGATATAATGATAATTTATATATTTAAATA